GATGTTCGATCTACTAAAATGTTCCCAAAATAACCATACCACTTGCCATCACTACAACTTAGTACGTTTATAGAATAGTATGTTATTATAAACAGCCATCAACCGCTGTCTCTGTTATATCACTTCTTCCATATTTCCTGTTAGTAATGATATTATTACTTGATACCACCATTTGGTAACTATGAAGATCATGACGCTTAATCATGTACAATAAATGGCTGCTATGAGGACGTCTTATTACTGGCCAATAGACTCATTGACGAATGGTAAATAAACTTTTGGACATTTTGGTGTCTAATTGAAATTGCATTGTTTGTCCGGGTTTGCTCAGCATTAACAGAAGTGCTTATATGGCTTTTGAATTCTTGCCTCCTAATGGGGTATGATATTTAGAAAATCAGCAGCATTGGTACTTTGGACGATGTGAAGGTGCTATTAACATTTTTTATGGGTGTTTGCTGTAGGTTAGAGAGCTGGTGCTTTCACGTAATCTCAATCTCATCATAGAACCTGGGAGATCGCTTATTGCAAATACTTGTTGCTTAGTTAATCGTGTCATTGGAGTGAAAACAAATGGGACAAAAAATTTCATTGTGATCGATGGCAGCATGTCAGAACTTATCCGCCCTAGTCTCTATGGTGCTTATCAAGTAAGTTTCTAACACATAAGCTACTCTGTGAATTTGCCTTTGTGGATCAGAACATTGTTGTCAGACAATCCAGGCCCTGCTCCTTCCTTCTGTCACATTGAAAATCAAATTTGCGTCATAGACACCTTCTTTTTTAAATCATTGTGGATTTTTTGCGTTGCAATTAAATGTGTGTATTGGAGTAGAAGTCTAATAATTTTTTGTTGCAGATGATCTAGTAGCCAGTAAATTACTTTTGACTAACTATGTCTGATGACTGTCACCTTAACATCTGAAAAGGCTGCCAGATCCCATTACACTAAATTGCTCCAGTTGTGAACAGCAGAAAGAGTAGTTATTATTCTGTTTCAAGTTTGTATATCCTATTCTAATTAACCCTCCGCATTTTCTCGCACTTGCACGTAATCATTATGTTCTTTTCATAAACTCTTTTAGTTCTTGGTCATTGTTTGACTTTTGAATGCAGCACATAGAGCTGGTTTCTCCTTTACAACCTGATGCTGAGATTTCTAATTTTGATGTTGTGGGTCCGGTCTGCGAGTCGGCAGATTTCCTGGGAAAGGATAGGGAACTTCCAACACCTCCTAGGGTAATGTGTTATGCTTCTTCATGGTGATAGTGTCATCCATACTCTTTCATATTGCACTAAACAGGAAGCGTACTTCTCAGGGTACCGGCTTGGTGGTTCACGATGCTGGCGCTTACTGCATGAGTATGGCATCAACTTACAATCTCAAGATGCGTCCACCAGAGTATTGGGTGTGTGATTTTGACCTTATATAATCTTAGTTATTAAAATTTTCTTTCTATTCTTTGCCAATAGTTGCGTTTGACTTGCATCATAGACAACGCCATCACACTGTTTCTTTACCACTTGAGCTAAGGCACAGGGGTCAATATTTTCTGCATTTATTCAGTGTTAAATAGAAAGTTACGGGCATTTGGGAGGTAATCCAGCATTAGTTGCAAAAAGGAGTAAAATGACTACATGGCTGTTATGTAGATGTTTGCTTGGTTTATTGAAACCCTTTCTTATCTTGAAATTTTAAATTGTTTAAGATTTCTCTCTATAAATAGTCACGTAGATGGCCTTGGACTTATTTATTGGCATCAATGAGTTTAGAGCACTGCTTTTATATCATTCTTACATTTTTTGGGCACACGGTTCTAATACAATTTTTCCACACCCAAGTCTAGTACTCCTAGCCATGCTCTCCTTTCTTATGAATGAGCACCCACTTGTTATCTTTCTTTTATTCCATAACACAAAGTGTTTCTTTGTTCAATTTTGGCTTGCCTAATAAATTATAAGCAACATAATCAAAATCCCAGTTTGCCCTTTTGAACCGTTTCTCTGAAGGAAGTAACTGCTGAGAATTTGAATTGATGTTTTTAGGTTGAAGAAGATGGATCAATCTCCAAAATCCGGCATGGGGAAACATTTGAAGACCATATGAGATTCTTTGAGGGTCTTTAGCTTATAAAATGTTGCAGACTCTTCCCATTGTTGCCATGCCAGGGTTCTAGGCTAGGACTTCGCTTTTAATTGATGCAAAGCTGGTATCTGTCTGCCTGGATGGATATCGTGTATCCGAATGTCTTTTGATGTCTGAATTATGTATTATCTGTTTTACTATCCAGTTGTTATGATTTATTTCTCCCGAGGGAATTCAAAAAACAAATGGAGAGAATAGGTGATGACGAAACTGCCGCAGGAGGTTAAATGAGTGAGTGTTCATGAGCTTTTTGACGTATTTGTAGAGTTACAATCACTTCAGAGATAGTGGTGAGCAGCAAGCAGCCCCTTATATAGGGTTCCAAACCTGCGCTTTTACAAGCGACCCAACTATGACCCCTTATACCATGCAGTCAGTGTTTGGGGCTCCCGGTCATAAAGAACTCCTGCTGTAGCTTGTCTGCATTGTAAGCATGAGTTTGAAGATCGTGTGATCAGAACGATTTTTCATTTTAAAAGAACCTCTAAAAGATTGCACGTCCCGCCCATCGGTAATAACCTCAATATCATTCCTATTTGGGATACACAGTATGGAAAATGGGTTAAAACAATGACCTTGTGTGAACCATGTCTTGGTCAACTCAACATTAGGGGTTGCAGTTGTGTTGGGTCGTATCAGTGGTGTTATTTTAGATTCGTGTCAAGTACTATTTAACTTTAATCTAATTTGTTTAATTAATCGTGTCATGTCGTATTGGTTTATTTACTTTTGTGTTATATTCTGTTCACGCATATAACTTGTAAATAAAAAATTTAACTTAGTTTTATGTCTAAAATTTTATTATCAATTAATTGACCCTATGTTCATATTTTTTGTATAAGCTAAAAATTAACTTAATAAATATAATAATTAAAATGAGTAAATATATATATTTTTTGTATAAGAATTCGGTCTAATAAAATATAATTAAAAATTATTATTTTATTCTTATAATACTATTTAAACGTGTTAATTATATTAATTTTGTGTTATTTGTGTTTGACACAAATCTAACTTATTTATTAGTCATGTTAACGGGCTATGTCAGAAATGGGTTTGTGTCAAGAAATGACAAATTTTAACTTATTAATTTCTGTCGATTTTAAGTTGTATTTTCAAGTTTGTGTCAAAAATTACTATCACTAATCAACATAGCTTTCACACTAATTTCTCAACTCCACCACTTATGAGTTTCATGTAATATTTACATTTCAATTTATAGTTTATATGTTCCCCCTTTCCCCCACCAAAACCATGGTATTACTTCTCTGAATTCTTTTCGAAAATAAATCAGCAGGACAATGAAACACACTTGCTTTTTCCCAACTCAACCACCATGAATCGCAAAAAGAAAATGATTAAAAAACCAAACTGTTTGGTGTGTTAGTTGAATTATATTTGCAAGTACATATATGTATTTGCTTTTAGGTGCATCTATCTATGGGTTCGATAAGTGCGTGGTTGAAATAATTTTTTATTATAAAAAATAATAAATTATGCAAAATAGAAAGGGTAACTTGGTAACATCATTCCTTCGAGAATTAACACCAACTAATACTCTTGTCTTTCACTACTTACATATTTCTTGCCCATAATCACACACCTTAATAATAAAACACTAAACAAGTTTATTTTTCAACGCATAGTAGTCGGCAGTGTGGAGGAAAGTGACGCCGGTGTCGATGGCATGGTGGATGAGTTTGATCATTTCCGCTTCGGGTTTTGGAGGGCCGTAGCCGAAAGACATGCCCTTGCAGCCCAACCCTTGTTGTGATACCACCAGACCCTGTGAACCCAATTTGCTTCTGCCTAATGTTGATGAAATTGTGTCCTTTGTTTGGATTGAACAAAGGAATGGTTCGTTTAGTTGTTGCATAGAGTGACGGCAAATGAAGAAGAAGGCACAGATTATTTGACGGAGGACAGTGTTGTAAAGGTAGCACATGGCTACACATGCAAGAAATCCTTTTTTAAGAGGGTGGTTCGTTTAGTCAAATATAGTATAGTAGGGCTTATGATTCCAATAACATATAATATAGAAACTTCAAGTGCAAATTTTAAAGAATGAGAATCTCTTACATGTATATATGAAACTTATCTTGATGTATGAAATTTGGATCGGTTGGCCCTCCTACATAAGGAGATTTTATTTCCTTCGAAGACTTTTGTCAATCTGTTTTAGTCATCCATCCTTCAAACATTCGAAGAATTTTTTTCTTCTTCTTTTTTTCTTTTTTGTATTTTATATTTGAGTTAGGATTTTTTTTGACTATGTGAGTTTGTTCTACAATTCTAGACATGAATTGCGATTTTGATACAAAATCATTATAAAATTAATGAATTTAAGATTCAAATGATAAATTGTTAGATTTGTTAAACCCATTAAATAAATTAGTCAACACAAACTAACTCACGAAAGTAGTGTATTTGAATGAGCAAGGTTGTGAAAGAGGTGATGGCCACAAGAGAAAAGGTAGCACATGGTTACACATGCTTAAATTAGATATACCTCAAATTATAATTTGATCTCCTCACGTATGATTCTATCTCACTTTGTCTCTTGATTTATTGAATTTTTGCATTGTTCCTATACCTACCTGAATTGATTTTATATTATATCAAAAGCAGGCATCCATTATTTTTTTATGATCAATGTCCACGTGTCGGGCAATGTGAAACAAAATTACATATTTTAGGAACCACAATGCATCGAGCGACACTACCATTTTTTGGGTTCCCACTAATTTTTTCTTAACGTTATTTTATAACTTGAGTGATTAAGCTAGAGATTTAATTTTGGGCACGTTTTAAGGTTACTGTATAGACCATCGAGTCGAAGGCATTGGGACACATGGAACTCGACCTCAAAAATTTAAATCATATCACACTGTTGCGGAACGATATCTTGTGCAAAAATGTCAATTAATTCAATGACCATAGACTTGAACGACTCGTTTGAAACTAGTGGTTTACATGAAATCTTAAATGGCATAAAAAAAAAAATCACCGAGTTGGATGCGACACAGCCGAGTATAGCCGACACTCTGAATCAGACCGATGCATTTTTTAGACTCTGTGCAAAGGAGACTGTGCCAGGATTAGAGCCTTTTTGGAGGATGTGTTTTACCAACTAGTGTCATAGTGATGAAGGAAAAGCAAGTGGCATTAAGTAAACAAATCCTCAATAAGACTAAGTAATTAATGATTCTAATTTCAATTTGTCAACAACTACCCTAACTATCTATGCGTCTTGATTATTTTTCACTAAGCCATCAAAATATCGCTCTAGCGAAGTCTATGGAGTATAGGGGAAGAACCGATAATTAAACAAGGAAAGTGTGTACAATGGCAAAATACGATTCATGTAGCCGACTTGAACTATATAAAACAACTTTGTTGAGTTGAATCCAACGAGAGTCTGTGTGGTATATAAGGTAAAAGCAAGACAGAATGAGAATGACACCAATCAAATAATACACATCTTGATTACACTCAGAAATCTCGAAAACTCATTTTAGGGTCTTCCTGCTTCCTACCACCTCGTCCTCTTCCTCTGCTTTTCCCCCTTCCTCTCCCTCTCCCTCCCCCTCCCATGCGTCTGTAAAATGATTTTCCGTGCTTCATCTGTACCAGCGAATGCAGAAGTTCATCACAAAGAACACACCCAACATACAAGGTAGCTCCATCTTTCAGGGGTGTTGTTTTCTTATTGAAGTCAACTTCTATTACGGTGGAATCACATTCAGCGCATCGTTCCCGAGTTGTAGAAATCCTATGAGCACCACTAGGAAGGAAAACAAGACAATTGCACATGTTGCAATAAAGCCTCCATTTGGGAGCACTGACTGGGTCAAGGACAAGTGTTCCATCGCATTCTGGGCAAGCACAAACTCCTTGGGCAATCAGAGAATGCTGGCAGGTGGGGTGTGGGCAGAGGATACAAGGCATGCCAGCTCCTTTTCCCAACTTGCCAGAACCACCGGATTTGGTGGCACCAAATAACGTGTCTATACCTTCAAATGGAGGACTGTTGTAACAGTAAGGGCAGAGAGGGAATGACTTGCCTTCTGGGCCGGCCAATGAGAATAACAAAAGCTCAAAGTTGTCCAAAGGGCACGTAAGTTCCTTGTACAACTGCACATATGCACACACACATAGGAAAATGATTGGTCAAGACAACGAAGTATTCTAAGCGTAAAAGCTAGAATACACATAATCAAATTGCAGACAGTACAGCAAGAGATATATGCACAGGTTCCATATCTTAACATTCTACAAGAAAGAAAATGTCAAGAAAGATGATAATTTATATTACCTTAATTGTACCCTTTTGAGGAACATAATAAACTTCTTCACATGTACCACAGTATAGCCGTGATGGCTGGGAAGAGATGTACTTCATATATCGTAGGCATTTGCCACATTTGCTAAGCAAACGTCCAGAATCTGAAAGTGGAGAGAACTGTGCTTCAAACAATGCATCCATATTATCAATCTGCATCATGCACACCAAAAAAACTGAAGATCAAGGCTTTGAAACACAAGCCATATTTTAAATGAATAAAGAATACCAAGAACTGAGGAACTAATCTAATTTTGGGAAGTTATAGCACCATGCAGAACATAATCTTGCTTTCTTGGACCCCACAAAAGCACTGCATTGCAACCGATAATCACTTGGACAACAAATAGAGTCGTATCTACTTACGATAAGCACCAACATGGTGTTTGAAACAATGATACTTTGGATCGTGGGTCGCTTTGGTACGTGATACATATATGGGTACATGATACGACACTTTCTTAGGCACGTAGTACGATGGGGATAGATTTAGTTTGTACGGTATTTTAGGTCGCAATTCATTTTAAAACTCTTATGTAGATCGTTTTCACTATTATATGACATTATTTATTACACATCATTCATAAACACTAAGTTAGTTACCATTTATCTTATAGTTGTGCTTGATTTTCTATTGTTACATGCAAACCATGTTGCGATATGGCATGCCCTCACCCTTTCACATTTGATACCGTGAAATGACCATTTATACCACTAAGAAGCATTATTTGGCGATGTATTAGTGGCACCACTCAGAGCGAAGAGTTAGGCAGATAGTGTAGTATGGGCCCTCTGACTTCTAGCTCTATGTTGTGCGGCTCCTATGAAGTGAATGGAGGGAAGCTCATAGAGCTTTCTCCACAAGCGGCTTATATGGAGTGGTCGTCCTTATAAAGCTCCCAAAACCTCGCTTCCCTCCACTTTTGACAACTTGGCCACTCTCGCCTTGCTGGGCTGAGGTGCCCTCAACAGGTTCTAAGGAGGACCTAGCATCAACACAGTGTTTAGTGTCCCTCTTGGGCTGGTTTTCATCAGTTTTCTTTATTCAGTAAATTTTTGCTGTAACACCTTATGCTCGAGCTTCCTAGGATCAAAGGTTGCTCTCTATCAAACTTTGTGAGGGCTGCACTGGGATCGGGTGTACTATTGTTCAAAGAAGGATTGAACTCATGGATATTTCAACGTATTCCTTTGAATTTAAAATATTCCAAGAACTGAAATTTTTTTCCCTGTTGGTCCAAAAGCAATTCGAAAAATTCCTTCAAGGCAAACCAAGAAAGAGAGGTAAAGGTTAGATACTGCAGATTGCAGAGCCGTACAGATTTTCTCCTGATCACCATGAATTTTTGTCAAATCAACCAAGACTAAATCAGATGCTTAAATTTTATTGGTTTTTCTAACACAAAATCAGAAAAACCTATCAAGCCCCACTATTCAAGAATTCAGAGGATAAATTTGATCATCAAATTGATATATTATCACCTGTTTAACAAAGTAACTGAACTTGCGCTTGAATTGTTCAAGTACATGCCGCACGACCAGGGAATGATCTGCTTGGCCTTTAGCAACAAGAGTGATTTGCTGCTCAATGAAACTCCGAATGTCAGGCAAACAGAGATCCGGATCTATACATTGGTAGCCTCTAATTAGGCTGATACCTAAAGCAGTTGGAACCAACCTCCTTCCAGCTTGTACCTGAATTTAAATAACCATATCATGAAAGAATTTTACACTAGGATTTACCATGTAAGGGCAACATATGCTCAAAGTGCCCCAAAAGGAATTTGCCATACTTCCATTTTTTTAGCAAATTATTTTCTGTTTATAGGTGAAGAATATAACTAACCTGCACATAGTTGCGCTCACATATGTTGTTAATATGTACAGGAATGGAGGCATCTGTTCCTATTCCGTTTTTTTCCATCAAGGATATCAGTTCACTTTCAGTAAGATAATCTGGAGGCGCAGTGTTCCCCTATAATTTTGGAATTTTAGTTAGTAGATGCAAAAAGCAGTAATAAATCCAACACTCCAATATGTGAATTCATGTATATATATATATATATATATGCACGTGTGTTTTTCCGTATTCAAAGATAACATGGAAGATGCAGTGCCAGTTTCAACACTCCCAAAGGGCCATGAAGCACATTCAAATCCAGTTACCATGTTATGAGCCTGACATGAGATGTCTTCACCTCAACAAGGATGATGAACTTCATTATTTGATTTTTATACAAAAAAAATATAAATCTTTTCAATCTTTTTATCTTGAATTTACCAAATACACAGAAATTGAGGAGTTGAAAGTACATAAATTAACAAATATTGAAAACTAGTCAAGAAAGATGAAAAGTGAGGATACGTAATGCAATACCTAAGTCAAGAAAGTTGTGAAGTAAGGATGGTTAATGCAATACCTCATACAACTCAACTTTTGAAATTTCTACTTTATCCCCTTCCTTAAAATGAGGGAGAGAGATTTCATTTACTGCCAACCATGGCATAATTGAGGTAAATCCTTTGACTGTAACACGCTGGCCAACAAAATGGAAGAATTCTCCTCTAGCTGAAAAATCGATCTTCGTCCTGCAAGCAAGGCATCAAATAGTGCTCATTAGGCTCCACCATTCTGTTTTTTTTTAATCCACAACATCATGTATTACTGTTCTAGCAATGCCAATAATATTATGTGAAAATTATGGACAACATTATCCAACTGAAATAGGTATGACAAAATGAGAGAATTCGGCACCAAGTAACATAAGTGATTCATATATACTGAAACCTTCGCAGAGACCAAACAGTTAGTTCTATTTGAATAAAATTCAGTGGTAAATGCTGTTCAGTGATCAAGTACAGACATAAAATGGGATCAACCATTTATAGATTGGAACTTCCTTCAATTTCTACTGATTCTACTCTGTCCTAACAAACCTAGGGTTGTTTGCTAAAAAGAAAATACTTGAACTTAATGTTGTACTTGATTGAATTTCAATTCAAAGGAAACTAAGTGTGGGCCTTTTTTTAAAAAAAACCTCAGCTGAGGATTTTATTAATAAAGAGAAAAAATAGTAACTGCAGAAGGGGGAAGTAGTGAGCCTTTACCCCAATAGCCGAGTATAGTGATGGCAATATAAAATGAACCAATGCAAAGCATGAGTTACATCCAAGCTTTAAAAATAAATCCGGATTCAAAGCTTAAAATGAAAACCAGGATAACCAGTGATGTCCCGCTTAACATGTTGAGCAATGAAATTTGGAGGAGACGTCCACCAAGTGAAGGATGAAGCCAAGATACCAAAATTTGCAAGACCACTTGCAACTTGGTTTCCCTCTATAGACATGTGAGATTTGAATTTGCATGGATTGCATTTGATGTCAACAATTCTCAGGGAACAGATAAGCATATAGATGAAATGCTGCACACGAGAATTTGGAGTCACACTCAATCCAAATTCAGTTCCACCCAAAAGCTGCAGCTATATCAACCCCACTCCCAAAAGCTCAGCATAATAAGCATTCTGAGTCCCAATGGAAGGTTGTAAGCACCTTTAACAAACCACGGGAAGTGCAGAATATACCCCCACAAGCTGCCGGACCCGGGCAGCCCCTTGCAATACCATACCATCGTTGTTGAGGAGCTAAAATAACTCTCATAGAATGCTTGTTAAAGGAATACCCGCTAAGATTTGATCAAATAAGTCCTTCTGGAATAAATATTTAGCTGTTTGTGAACCCTTTAGAATTGGTTTTTTTTTTTTCAATTACTATTTTATGTGCATATGTGATGTAGGACAGAAAGGACTAGAATTTACATAATAGAAAGAGAATAAGAAAGAAGTGGGGGTGGAAGGGGTTTGCCTCATTCTCGTAAGGAATCGGTGAAAAAACACACAAATTTTTCGTGGAGAATCACTTTTTATTATATCACTCTCTCTAATAAAAATAGTTGGGATTACACCATTATCTATAGACCAAGTTCCCTACCAAAATAAAAACTATTCTCCTACTAAAATTTTAAAAGAGATTCATAATCAAACTCTTAAATCCCTAACTTACTAAAACTCTATAATAATTCCCTAATCAAACTCTAACTCATACTCGTAGTCAAACAAATATTCCCTAACTAATATAATAACAGTAAAACAAATAATTCAATTCAGTTCTTCAAATTAAGCTCATCTAATCTCTTTTCGATCTCTATCAATATGCAATGTAGACATAGGATTCAACATTAATCCTATACCCAATACACCAGAACGCATTGTCTCTTCCTAGTAGTAGCTTGTAGGAGATGTAAGGATTGATATATAGAATAAATTTTTATTCAATTGATAATCACACAAAGCATATGATATTTTGGCCCCTTGCATTAACCTCAAACTTTCGTCTTGCATGGGCGCCCCCTAGGATGCACACTATAATAGCTGGTAGAAATTTTTTAGTGGTATATCAAACGAATGAGTGTCTCTCCGAATATGGATTTCATACCATCTTCATAAACTAAAAACCCATAACACATATTTGGATTTCATGCCACCTTCATAACTGAAAACCCATAAACCCAAGTGTTACGACGATACAGTTTAACCCTCTCTGCCTATTGTTAGTCATGTTTTGCAAGAAAAGCATTAGAACTTTCCTTTATAGTCCAATCACAACAATTCATGATGGTTCTTATACTAGAACCCTCATTTTCACTAATATTTCTACTTTCGCGAACTGTAAATGTTATTGCCACTGTATTTGTCACTCCCATTTATAGTGTAATGACTATAGATTATGACCGGAGGTCCAATATGACTATTATTATAACCTTTTAGCTTAGTCGCCATTGACAAGTTTAGCTTGAAGCAATGGTATTGCTTGTAAGACTGTACAATATGGCTTCTTTTTGCTTGACCAAAGAAGAATCCCCATCACAAGTTTTAACCCTCAACTTCTATCAACTACGTCCATATTCAAACTCGCAGTATCAGCCATCAACTCAAAAGGCACCAATAGACATCGGTTGTGGCACTACGACACGGAATCGCCCAAAAAAAAAACCTACATATAAGGCTCAAAAAACTTCTACAAAAATCACGAAAATTCTAAAACAATGTAAACAATATCATTGAAGTATATATGACCAAAACACATTCCTTAACACATTAAACATAGTAAAAATAAAATATAAATGCGCTGCAAAAATTATTTAACATCATCCGTGTTCACATTGAACATTTAAGAACATGCCCATTATTCAAAAATTAAGTATAAATTATACAAAAATTGTAAAAGTAGGAATTGCACTTATTTCTAAATTGGAATTATTATTTAATTTCTAATTATTTGATTTTAATTTTTTTTTTGGAATTTAGAAATATGGAAAAATATAATTATGAATGCACAAGTTACACTTTTTTATGCACCCAAAAGTAGTAAAAAAATTACCTTAAAAAAGGTAACTTGAGACCCAAAAAAGCTATTTAACTCAAGAACTCAGTAACTCCTCAACTCATAACTCCGTAACGTAATCCCGGGGACTGAAATAATACATGGAAGACTCATGAACTCAGTAACTCCTAAACTTAGTAACTCAATTCAGTCATCCCTTACTCTATTCCTTTCTAAAGTTAGGAATAGTGGGATGGTTAAGATCAGCTATTACTACTCTTACTCTGGCTTCCAGCTCAGAACTATGAAATAGCGTGGTTTGGTTATATCATAAGTGACCATTGAAACTTACATTGACTAGTGGGCAGCTTTCTCCGTGTGTCATGACGTCGATACAAGGCAAGAGTAAAGACTCGAAGTCGATACCAAAATCGTAATCATACGGATCACTTCTGGTAAACAGGCTGATAAGACAAGAAGGCAATGATTATTTCTATTCTACAGAATATCGTGAGGGCAGAAGGCAAAAGCCAGAGCAAGGGTAGAGATGTAATGTTACCTACCTGTTGTTATCTCTAAAGTAATAGGAATGTGTTTGAAAGTTGGACGAAAGGTGGTGGGCCTATTCGACAACGCCTCCAAACACAGTTATGTCGACGCGACTGTGGCTCCATACCCTCAGAAAGGGTATGGGAGACAACAAAAATTCGTTTTTTAAGTAAAAAGTCATCCCTTACTCCATTCTTTCCTAACGTCCGGAATGACAGGATGGGAAAAGCAACTCCTTCCTAGAAGGTCATCCTTTACTCCATTTCTTCCTAAAGTCAGGAATGGCGGGACGACCATCTTACTAGAAGGGCATCCCTTACTCCATTCCTTCCTAACGTCAGGAATGACGGGATAGAACTCCTTCCTTGTTAGAGTGAGTGCCGCATACCAATGGGTCACTTTACTCACTTAAGAGATAGTTATCAAAATCAGAGTAAAGATATAATAAGATAGATTGATTAGGTCATTCGATCACTACCTCTCTAGTGCTCACCACCTCCACCCTTGAGCGCATGCGCTCTTTGTGGGTTATGGGGGGAGCAGTAGGAATACGTTCCTCATTCCCAATCGTAGGAGTTAATAAATCATCGAGTTAGATATATCAATACGAGACTTATTACTAGTTAGAATGAGTGACCCATTCAGATAAAAAAAGAACAGCCTAGAGACTAGATTAGGAAAAAGAAAAGATACTTTTAAGTGTTAATTGACGTAGACTCATTTGGACTAGTCCTCACGTCTACGATATGCACACACACACAGAGAAAGAGGGAACATGAGAGACTAAAAGATAGATAGAAAGAAGCTGAAAGATCCATCATCGAAGAAGAAGGATGGATATGGGCTGCTGTTTCAACGATGACGACCTCAAAGAAGAAGAAGAAGAGGAGGGGCCTTTTTGTCGATGTTGCAAGCTTGCCTTGCTTTTTTTTTTCTTCCAATCTTCTTCTTTTGCAATAATAGTCACAAAAAAGGGCATATTTGCATGTGATTTTGCAATTTAGGGTTTGAAAATTGCAAATTTTTATCTACTGATTTTTTTGCTTTAATACTTATCATTCATTTTATGCTTTTGCTTGGTTGTTTCTTATCCCTATCTTTTGTTTTTTGCAATTTGTCTAGGAGTCTGGACATTTTGAAGATGATTCACTCCATGTCTGTCCAATACCAATATGAATCGTTCGAGTTGAACCCTATAACTCCGAGTCAAGCCGATACTACCAAGTCGTATCCAAATCACTACAGATTCATGTGAAAACCGTGATTTTTCAGTAACATGTACTGGTATCAAATCGGCAGTGGAGCCGGGACTTGGCCGATATTTTGAACCTTGACTACGTCCTAGGTCAAACCTAAACCACATGTCCTACGTGTCAGGGATCTCACAGATGTAGGGCAAGTGGAGGAACACTCTCACACGATTTCCAAGCACAAGTGGTGGGTCTTCCTGCATCTAAAGCAGCCCATGAATTGAAATAAGCAGCGGATGATTTCGTTTTTCGCCTTTTAGTTTATTATATCATTTTATTGTTATTTCAATTCATTTTTACCAGCCAAGAAGAGTGGTGTACTACTAAATTTGAAGCAACCATTTCACTAAATGAAGTAAAAGACACCGAGCGAGCTAAATTATTTTGCATTGCTCTCCCAAATGTATAATATAAGTAATCAGGTTCAATACCATTTCCCTACAGACTTGAATGCATAACTCACAATGCAACTCTATTCACACACAAGTAGCTTGCATAAATTGCCTCTATGGGAGAACTTTAACATCCTTCCATCCACTAGAACAGATACATACAAAGACAAGGTCAAAAACAACAATTCAAAAAGTCACTGACAAAAAAGAAAAGACAATGTAGGAAATGGAAATGGTTAATTTGGAAATGCACAATAAAGTTATACTACAAAAGAGAGTGTAAAATCAAACCACATACAATTACCAAAAATTAAATTATTGATAGGTCCATATATACCACATAAACAGGTTAGCCTCAACTTAACAATCCTTGAACCAAAACAGGACAGTAAACTTCGTAAAAAAAGAATGATGATCAGGACGATGATGATAATTATATACACAGAGGAATTTGATCACAGAATTGAAGAGTGATACAACATCGGCAAACTAAAAGAAACTCTAAAGACATAAGCAGGGGAAAATGAAGTTCTTACCTTATATATTTGCAGTCAGGAGAGAGACTACCCAGAAAATGTTGACAGACATAGTGATACAATCTCCAAGCATCAGTGCCTAGCATATCCTCACTAGCGAACCGCATTGGAGTTATGGGAGGGTGATCTCCTGCATCATTTCCTGATCGTGGCATTACATAGCCATCAGCTAGCAGAGTACGTACATAATCACACCACACTGAAATATTTACTAGAGCTCCAAGTGTGCCTCTGAAATCAAATGATGAAGGGTATGCTGTGCTCTCTGTACGTGGATAGCTGAGTAGGACCAACAAAAACAAATAATAGAAAAAACAAAAAACATTAATTATGAGTATCCACAACAGAAAAGAATTAGACCAGGAGACAACTGCAAAAATTAGTGGTACCATGACTACAAAGACAAAAGATAAAATCAGCAAGGATGATTTTATCTTACCCCAGGTGCAAAAGAGGAGTTAGGAAAGGTACAAAGGAAATGGGTTCAGATTGTCCAAAAAATATGATGTGTGATAACCCGATTATCAATTAGAAAGATAACTATAATTTTATATTATCAAGTTTATTTTTAGAAGTTCCAAATAAATGAATGGACATCAAATATGGAATTTTCTATGAAAACGAGGCAAATAACTATAATATAAGTCATATTTCGTATTAGAATAAAAATGTCATATTAAAGATCTAAAGTGTCCGAATTAAAAAATATAAATGGAAAAAATATATGTTACATGCAATATTTTATATATATATATATATATATATATATATATATATATATATATATATATATATCATATTTATAATGATTATGCCATGTGTCTTGCAAGGAGATGGACCAAAAAAAACACAAAGAAAGTGGACAAGTGTCCTAGGTGATGTTATGTATAAATCACCATACTTATGTTGGGGTGACATGACATACTTGGGGCCCAAGGCTCCCAAGTCTATAAATTGGAGCAAAGATCAAGACGTAGTCACGTAGAGAAATGAGGAAGAGAGAGAGAGAGAGAGAGAAGAAAGGGAAAACAAAAGAAAAAGGGAGAAATAAGTAAAAAAAATAACGAAATTTTGATTTCAAAATTAGATGATGATTTTAGTCTCAAAATCTATGAAATTGGTACATGTTTTTAATACAACGATGATCAAATTTATTGGTATCACTTGGTGATTTGAAATACAAGGTAGTATACAATATGCTCTGGTCTTTAAATCTCTTTACAAAGAATGTTCCATTTGATCATCTTAAATTCGTACTCATGTAGAGTATTTCCTATTAATATGAAATTCTGTAAATTTTGTTGATATGTTTTTTGGACTAAATACTTCGGAATTAATTAGTACATGTACGAAGTATACTTAGGACATAGTTGATCAAATGTGATTGTGGTCCTATGGGGTGCCATTGTGATTTTAGCCCTGCGGGGTGTGATCGGTTAGTATGAATGTGGATTTATATATCCAAGTACCACTTGTCATGTCACCATGAGAAACCGAGTATGAGACTATATTTGACAGCAGTTGAACTATGTGGCATATCCAATTCGATTGATGATTCTATTGTTCATGTTTCTTATCATTTGAATTATTTGATATTTGATCATTCGTATCTTTGAGTATATTGTATATTTCGCTGTCTTTAATATTTTTCAAGATGATCTCAAAGGAAACCAAAGTTGATATTTGAGGAATTGTAGATGGATGAACTTCGATATAATCTTTATTAAATTGAAATTGCAAGTTTTATTGGTGTTTGAAGATCAAATTTGTAATTATAGTTTTTATTGAAGTAATTAGAGCTATGACCCGTATATTTCGGATATTTGTGGAATTGTGTCAATTGATTAATTAAGTAATGCATTTGGGAAACCGCAACCCCTAAACATGATGGCCTATAATTCAATAGGAAACAAGGTCTTAATGGTGAGTACAGTGACAAACAATAATCCTTGTAGACAGCACCAAGCAGTTTAGACCAAGGACAAGGCCAGATTAAGCTAGAGTTCTTATTACATGCATATCAATTTGTTCCCAAAGACTAAGATAATAAACTATAAATCAAATAAGCTAGCATACATCAAAAGAATTATTAAACTAGTTTAATAAGGTCACAAAACATATGAAAATATTGGGAAGGTTTCAATTGTGATTATAGCCAACATAAAGCTTACTAGACATAAATAACAATAATATTTCCAAAGGAAAAACTACAACTAAAACTAAAAGAAACCTATGAAAGATCCCATACCCACCCAGATTCAATAATTTTAATTGTTGTGATAATGAAACAACTTAGTCTTTCTGAACAAATGGAATATATGAAAAGTTATCAAATAACACAAAGTCTAATTTTCAAGCCCAGATGGATCTGAATAGATGACATCAGACTTTGCAACTAGATCAATTGAGTTGCAATGAATGACTTAGAATTAAAACTCCCAAAATCTACAGAAAATAGATTACAGTTCATGCATTACGCTAGGGCCAATCTTATTTAAAACACAAGTTCAATTAGCTATTCCTAGACAAGACCTTCACAGCAAAACTCGTACAGCCTTAAGGTTCTCACCTGTCACTCTTTTCCTTTTCCTTTTTATGCAATGTAAAAGACCCACATCCATGACCCAGATTTGAATCATGCATCTTCCCTTTGATGAAGGCAATAGACATCCTCCCTCCACAAGCTTATCACCAACCGTGGAGGTTCTCAAAAGTAAAAATATTATCAATCAGAATATTGATATCTCCCATCTTGTGTGTTGAGTGAGATTAGAACTAGTATAAGTTCAATGGAAGTAGCACATGCACCAATACAGCCCTATGTCAAAAGACTTATATGCTCCACATGGTATATATAACAACACTCGAACCTTGAGTTATATTGTCCGAATCCGAATATAATATGATGAGGGATAAAGTAAAACCTGATGAAACCCTGAGTATACAAGCGCTCAGCCAATTGCATAGCCAACTGAGGTCCGAAGCCTAAAGCACTTGAAGCAACCTGAATTAGTAGAGAAAGTATGATTAAATAGTCATGCACAGTTACAATCCACACAGGATCATCTAGACAAACTAAATGGATCAAGAGAAGAAAGCTTTCAATTCTAACTTTAAGGGTGTCACAATTCGACCTCCCATGGTAGCCTTTTGCAGGCCTGATTGACAGTTCAAATAAAAAATCCTATTTAATGGAGGAGGATTGAATCAAAAAGGGGATAACAAATAGCAGAAAACACTTCTTGTTTGACATAACTACACTCTGTTTCTGGAAAAATTGTACTAAACAATAAATCATAACCGTCTGAAGTGCTGGTTTCTAGGTACAGTAATGGTTCTCGTCAGAATTTTAAGTTCCCACACATCTAGGATTTCCCCTAAATTTCCCCATTGTTCATATGACTTGGGGGCTATAAACTATGAGATAGTAACTAACATGTATCTGAAAGCTATTTTAAGGGAAAAGCATTTTGTTTTGTTATTTGCAAGGTGATAACAACAGAGATCGGTTGCACTGCAGGGGTGACAAGCTAAGTAAACTAGATTTTTTTTTATGCTTTGGACAAAACACTAAGCATAACTACCACAGCCTTTAATATGACTTGATTGAAAATTTTCTAGGGCCATTCAACTCAACAGAAAGATACTGAATCACTTCTGACATGATGCTGCCATGATACAAATTGGAAGGGTCCAACTTTTCGAGGTTGGTTATTAATTATTAACACCTAATCAAAAACCTGGTCGCCTTGGGGCCATTCCTGGTTTTGGTCCCGCCAATGTAACACTGATAGAAATCGGATTATATTTCGTTATAGTAAGCGCAAACGTATGGATTAGGAGTTATTTGTTATTTTGCTTTTCAGGGCTTAGTTGTCATTTTGACTATTTATTTATTTTAAGATTTGTGCTCTCCTTATGTATATAGGGGATACGATATTTGTTTTAATAGACTTTGATTATTATTGAATACTGATATTGCTTCCTTCTCAAATTCTTTCTCTTTTTTTATTCATTTCTCGTTCTCTTCTCATTCCTAATTTTTCTTTACCTAGTCTACATCAATTTGGTATCAGAGCTCAAATTCGATTCATACAAATCACAAAAATCACATCAACACTATTCACAGTTTGAGAAAAAAAAATAAAAAATTGTTTATCATGTGCACTGTTCACCGTTCGCTGTTCATCTCAACAGAACTAGCCGGAAAAAATAAAATAAAATAAAATAAACAACAAAAAAAAAAGAATTTTCATTGTTTGGTCTCATTCCATCATCGTTTGGGTGTGTCGTCGTCATCGTCGTCGTAGTAGCGGTAACACACTCCACCCTTACCCAGGTTCTCATCAATCTTGAAAGCCCTCTCTCTTCTTCTGTAAACCCGTCATCAACTTTAAAAAAAAGACAGTCTAGTGGGTAAAATTTTGATCCACCATTCACAAGTTTATCAGCAACAACCCCAGAAGATCCAGAAACTACAAAAAAACCCCCAAAAAATTTTAAAATTGTAGAAACATCCCCAAAAGGTCCAGAAAAATGCAAAATCACTCCCATAAGTTTCAGCAACTTACAAAAATAACATCTAGGAGCTCCAGAATTGCAAAAGCATTCCCAGCAAATTCAGAAAATTACAGAAACATCACCCCAAAAATTGTAAAAACACCCCAGAAAGTTCCAGAATTTGTAGAATTATCCTCTAAATTGTCAAGTAGCCTCTTGGAGTTGTATGTAACACCAGGTACAAGTTCTCTTCATTGAGAATTGGTGACTAGTATTTATGTTTGTTAGTAAGTCAATCAAAAAAAAAAAACTAACCTAAACTTTCTTTGTTTGTTTTTTTCAGACACCAACTTCATAACTTAACTTACCCAATTCCTTATTAAATCCATTGTTGCTTATCTCACGTTTATTTGAGTCTCTTCACAATAAGCTTGTTCTTGTGTGTGCCCATTTGCATTGATTTATAATTTTTATTACTTAGTTTAATTTTTAGTCTAGTTTGCATTTTACATTAGCTCAAATTTTACATCACATTCACTATGACCCTTCGAAAGCTTTCAGAGTCTCATACTGCACCGAAACAAAAATTTGAGGCCCTCACCATTGATATGACCGACACTAAACAATTAGTCGACTTGTTATGTAAGAATATTAAAGGAATGGGGTAACAACTTTCTCAAGTTATTACTCAACTAGCCCAATTGACTAAGTTTATTGAAAAACAACCAATAGAGTATGACCAAGGTGAGCCACCAGTTTCACCTAAGTTAAGACAGGCACACCATGTTAGACACCTGCCTCTCCCGATAGATCCTACTGACACATGTCAAGGTATCCTACCCACTCTGCAGGTAGCTTAGGGGAGCCGAGTTCAGTGTCCAAATAGGAGGCCACCTCCTAATACCGTTTTTGGACAAAACATAGGTTGGAAGAATTTTCAAGAGAATCCCACTGAGGTAGTCATGTTTGACTATTCAGCAGAGGGTGATATGGATGGTTATCGTGAACTCTTCCGACCACGTGTCAGATACCATAAGCCTCCCCCTCCGCGTTACCATAATCTTCGACATAGGCATGTCCATGATGAATCTATGGATATCACACAAAGAGTCAAAGTGGACACTCCTAGTTTTGATGGTAGGTTAAATCCTGTTATTTTCTTAGATTGGTTGGATGAAATGGATGACTATTTTGATTGGCATGAAATGTCTGACAGCCATCGGGTTCGTTTTGCCAAAATAAAACTCGTTGGTTCGGCTAAGAGATATTGGTAAGGAGTCCAACAAGACCAAGAGCGCTTAGAGGGACAACCCAATACTTTGTGGGCTAAGATAAAACAAAGATTGTGAGATAAATATCTCCCCAGTTACTATAAGCGCCAACTCTTGGACAGGTGGATGAACTTGCGTCAATTGACCTCGAGTGTGACTGATTACCTAACTCGATTTGAAGAGCTCTTTATGAGATGTGACATAAAGGAAGAGCCTTGGGTAACAATTACAAAATTCATTAATGGTTTGAAACTTGAACTTAAGAGAGAGATTAACTTACACTCTCCTGAAATGGTTGAGGAAGCATATTATAAAGCCTTAGAGATTGAAAAATACCTTAGGCCACCTTTTAGCATCGCATGCCTACTCAAACTGGAGTCTCTCAACCATTGAGGTCAATCCCATTTGATAAGTCTTGAGGCGTCCACCAGTCATGGCATGTCACATCCAGGGGTAACACTTACCCCAACTCAAGAGGTAATGCCATTAGGAGTCGAGACTCCACAATCACGGGTTCTCGCTAGGATAGTTCTTTCATAGAGTGTCACTGTTGTCATGGCAAGGGTCATATTGCTTCACAGTGCCCTTAACATACCCTGACCGTTGACCAGGGATTAGAGAATTCACTTGATGAAGAGAATTCACTTGATGAAGAGGATGTTAACCAAGAAGTTGATCCTTTAGATGAGGAACCCCTAGAGTTACTAGATAAAGGTGAGGAAGAATAACGGAACGATGACACCCGCGTCAGTGTGATATGCATCTTATCCACCCCTTCAGGCACAGAAACATGGAAACACACCAACATTTTTCATACTTTAGTTCGATGTGGGAGTCAAGTTTGCAAGGTCGTCATTGATGGGAGAAGTTCATTGAATGTCATCTCTAAGGCGCCTGTAGCTCAGTTGTAGCTTAAGCTAGAGTCACACCCACAACCTTACAAGGTTGCATGGGTTGACAAGACCTCCTTACTAGTCTCGTAGAGATGTTTGGTCCCTATTCAAATGGGTGACTATTCAGATCATATATGGTCTGACTTCTTACCCATGGATGTCGCTTATGTCTTGTTAGGTCGTCCGTGGCTTTTTTATTTAGATGTGACAAACTATGGGAGGGACAATACCTATGTTTTTAAGCACAAAAGGAAAACCATCAAGTTAAAACCTGTAAAACCCTCAGAAGGTAATAATTCAAAGCATAGGTCATCTTCCCAAACAATTCACAAGAAACACCTTCACATCTTGACCAATAGAGAATTTGAAAAAGAGAAAAAAAAGTCTAGCGTAGTAATAGTTCTAGTTGTGGAAGAAGTTTTTTAGAGTCATTTGAAATCTAAAGACAATCTTTTGCCCAAGGTTGATATCAAGAAAGTTCCACGATGTGATCCCTGAGAAACTACCCGCTGAGTTGCCACCAATGAGAGATGTTCAGCATGCTATTGATTTAGTTTCAGGATCTTAGTTGCCTAATCTTCCCCATTGTCGTATGAATCCCATTGAGCGTGCTGAACTCCAAAGGCAAGTAGATGGACTTTTGCAAAAGGGGTATGTTCGTCATAGTCTTAGTCCATGTGTTGTCCCTGCTTTGTTGACTTCTAAGAAAGATGACTCTTGAAGAATGTGTTGATAGTCGTGTCATTAACAAAATTAAAGTCAAATATCGATTTCCTATACCAAGACTTGAAGATATGCTTGACCTTTTAGCCTGTGCACTTTGGTTCTCCAGAGAAAATTCGTGCTATTAGGAATTGGCCAGTGCTAAGAACAATTTCTGAGGTTTGAAGTTTTCATGGTTTGGCCACCTTTTATAACCGATTTATTAAGGGGTTTAGTTCCATTATGGCTCCCATCACAGAGTGCATGAAAAAATGGGAGTTTCAATGAAATCTTGGTGCAACTAGAGCCTTTCAAGAAGTTAAACAAAAGATGACAGAAGCACCCATCCTTCGACACCTAGATTTTTCTAAGGTGTTTGAGGTTGCCGGTGATACATCTGTTGCAGGGATAGATGGAGTTTTGAGTCAAGAGGGTCATCCTATTGCTTACTTTAGCGAAAAACTCAATGAAGTTAAACAATGATACTCTACATATAAGAAAGAGTTCTACGTAGTGATACAAACTCTCCGTCATTGGAGGTATTATCTACTGCCATCTAAATTTGTGTTATATTCTAATCATCAGGAATTAAAATACCTTCACTCCCAGCGAAAATTGAGTGTTAGGCACGTTAGGTGGGTAGAGTTCCTCAGGAGTATACTTTTGTTCTTCACCACCGAATAGGCATTAAAAATAAGATTGCAGATGCTCTTGGTCGTGTAGTTGCTGTTTTATAGATTATGAGTGCTCATGTCATCGGCTTTGACAAGATTAGAGATGAATATGCCTTTTGTCCGAACTTTGGTATCATTTTTCAAGATGTTCAAGATAGTAACCGTCATGAGTACATTGACTTCCTCCTTAGAGATGGTTAGTTATTTAGAGGGTCATGCTTATGTATTCCCCGTACTTCACTTAGGGATTTCCTGATTTGGGAATTACATGCAGGAGGTCTGGTAGAGATAAGACATTTGTACTTGTTGAGGATAAGTTTTATTGGCCCACTTTGAGGCGTGACATTATTAGGATAGTGTTAATGTCGCACTTGTCAGTTAGCAAAGGCTAGGAAATAAAACACTGGGTTGTACACACCATTACTAGTTCTACATACACCATGGAGAGACCTTAGTATGGACTTTGTGTTAGGATTGTCTAAAACATCCCGTAATCATGATTCCATTCTAGTTGTCGTGGATCAATATTCTAAGATAGCCCACTTCAATCCTTGCACTAAGTCTGTTGATGCCTCACATGTAGCAAAGTTATTTTTTCAAAAGGTCGTCCGACTACATGGGTTTCCTAATTTCATTGTGTCTGATAGGGATGTCAAATTTGTGAGTTATTTTTGGAAGAAACTTTAAAAACCCTTTGAGACTAGTCTTAAGTTTTCCTC